CCCCAAAACCCCAAAACCCCAAAACCCCGAGATATGGCTTAATAACTGAAATCATACCAAATGTTAAATATGCCTAATACAGGCATGTAAAATATCAAGTTACTTTGGTACCAACTGCCTCTTTTGAGTTGAGCATGATATTTCCACCTAATTTCTCACATAACTTCTTGCATATTGTCAGCCCTAGCCCAGTGCCTGTCTGGTTTCTGTTATGATTTGATCGAGTCTTTCCGAATACTTTGAATAGTGAAGGAAGGTCTCTTTCAGGGATTCCAATTCCAGTGTCTGTTACACTGAGTTCAACCTTCAGTTCCTTAGTAAATTCTGATGGTATAAAATCTTCTTCATGGTTTTGATCTTGCAGCATTTCTACATTTTGATTCTCATCAGCGTCATATTCTGTGTTGAACTTTGATGGATTTGGAACTGACGTGTAATTATCTGTTACAAGCAGGAGATTACATACCGGCATTTCTTCAATTAATCCAGACGAGAAAAGCTCAGTAATATCGCCTAAATGTTATCCAAAATATACAATCTTTGATCTCATCTTGGGTGGTTTTTCTAGCTTCTTGCATTTTCAACTCAACTTCGATGTAGCCTCTGTCCGTGAACTTCAAAGCGTTTGACAACAGGTTTAACAAAATCTGTTTGAGCCTTCCTTTGTCTGATTTGATTTCCAGTTCGTCGAACACATCTTCCATTTTGAAACTCAAGTCGATCCTCTTCATGCGAGTCTGCATTTCGAAGATGGAGTTCACTTCATCAAACAGTTGCTGAAAAGTAAACGTGGACTCCTGTACTTCGAACACTCCTGCTTCGATCTTTGAGAAGTCCAGGATGTCTTCGACAAGGCCTTTCAGAATGTCTCACGACGATGAAGCGATCTTGTGGTACTTGGCCCAATCCTCAGTCAGGTGGTCCTTCATCAAGTACAGAGACAGCGACATTGCATTGAGGGGAGTCCTGAACTCGTGGGACACATTCGAGAGCATCTGGCGCTGGTAGTTGCTCTGGGCTTTGGCTTCTTCTAGCTGAGTAATCTGGGTTGTGTCTATAAACATTTGAAGGAAAGTAGGTCACGTTTCGAGGTCATTGACAACATCAATTTTTGAAGTCTTTACTACAAAATCCCTCTTTAAGTACTCAATGTTTCTCTGAAGATGACTCTCATCATATAAAATCGAGACTTTGGTGCATCTTTGATTATCCTGATCAGTACGACAAAGTTCTCTTTCCTGCTGAAGAAAATGAGGTAATGAAACTTCTTCTTGCTCTTCAACTTGAACATCTGGGTCATCTCCTTTACCTTCTTCAACTTTCTGTCTCTGTACCTTGATCACGAAATTATTCAGGATATTATTTGTCAGAAGCTTGCCATCTTCTGAATTTGAAGTGTCCTTAGCCACTCTACGATAGATTTCATCAAATGATTTATCCATAAAATCTTTGATTTTAGCCACCTCCAAGTTTTCTTTGTTAACTTTATGAAATAGTGTAACATCGAAAGTCTGCTTGAGTTTCTTGTTTATAAACTTGAGGTCATTTCCTTGCTCATCCATGATAGTGACTCCTTCAGGCAAGACCTCCAGAATTTTCTTCAGCTGAGAAGAAGCTTGCTTGGCAATAAATGCAGACAAAAATTCTTGCTTGAAATTTTTTGAAATCAGGAATCCATTAAATCCAAATACGACTAAGGAAGACGCCAATGCAAATGTCAAAGAGACTGGAACGGATTCGTAATGATTAGTCAGGACTACATACAGACTAGCGTAGACCGCCATTATAGCCACTGAGGACACTCTCCAGTCTGAGATGAGGCAAGTGGATAGTAAGAAGGACACTGAAAGATGAAACAGGAATCCCTCATAAAGTCTATTAGAGTATTAGCATTCGTGAGAAACTAATTACTGAAGTTTTAAAATGTAAACACAACTAATCAGGTAATAGTCCCATCACCCAAAGTTGGGGTTAACAGGAATTATGGTCATAAATAATCCTGGCACGCCAGAGTCAGATATTAAGAAGCTATCTAAAGTTTTGGGCAAGGAATATTCATGCAGAATTTATAAGCACTTACTTAGGCTGAACGAATTCAAGGTTTACCTTGATCATCAAAACTCCAAGGCAGATAATATAGAGAATCGCACCATACCTTGCTATCATTGTGTTTCTTTTGATGAAATACTCTAGCACGAAAACAAGGACGAGCATTATGGCTGGACCGATTCTTTCTAACAGAGGTATGCCCTCTCTGAACTGGAAGCAAGCTGCTATTGTAAAGCATTTTATTTTAAACAGTAGTAGGATAAACCTCCAGTTGGTCCTGATTGCTTTGAGCCGATGGTCTTGATACCTCTGCTCAATCTGATCGTCTCCGAAGTCAATGTCTTCGAAGACCCACTTATTTTTGAGTTCTTTCAGAGCCCAGTTCCTCTGAATGAGGTCTGTCCAATACCCTACTCATGGTCTTTGTTCTGGCTGATGGGGATTTTCCATTATAATTTTTGAAACTTAAATAAATATAATAGCCAATACAAGTTGTTTTACAGGGGTTTTGGGGTTTTGGGGTTTTGGGG